AAGGATCTCATATTGTTTTTAAAATACTTTGAAATAATTCTTAATGAAGAAAGTGGAGATTTTTGACGAGAATATGTCTTGTCTCCAAAATTGCACTGCTGCCAATGGCTGCACACCTTAGAGGTATGAAGCAGTATATGTCAGGAGTTGCAATTTGGTGCCAAAATCAACCACACATAAAATAAACCAAATTTGTTGGTAGCCGGGACCAAGAACCATGTCAAAAGAGAATAAAAAATGCTGAGACTGTTTCTACAAACAGGTGCGAGTGCAAGATTTGCACATGCATTGCTCGCACTCTCTGAGACATAGTCTCGTCCAAAAAAATTGCTTTGTTGTTTTACTTGTTTAAAAAATCAAATTACCCAAAGGGAATATAGCTGTATTCATATTGTCTGGTCAATTTAATAAATTAGTCAATATTTATTAGGCTGTGTAGCCATTTTATTCATTATTCATAATGGCTAGGCATTATAAATAGTGCTCTATTAATCGCTTGGTCCATAACATATACACTAAAAGAAATTTTTTGTTTTTTTTTTTCTATTAGAATCAGGTCTTAACAAATTTCCCAAATACATAATATATATTCTTTTCTAATATATTTTTTACAGTAGCTGTATGCATGTTCAGCTCTTACATAAAACTGTTATTTAAAATACAGTACATCAATAAATTTTAAGTCATTTTATAAAAGACTGCATTTGTGTTTGACCTTAAATGTCATTGTTATCATTTGATAGATAAAGAATCAACGCACACCGGAGTAATATACAAATAATCCATTGAAAAAACCTTTAACCGGCGTGATGTATGTTCAATTGTTCATGCTAACGTTTTCGGATCCCTCCTGGGTCCTTCTTCAAGCTATGTTTTGTTTGTAACGATCCGTTAGAATGAAGACCAGCTGTTTTTTGAAAAAAACTTCAAATATCGAACTTCGAAATCTGGCTGGCACGTGATTCCAGTTGGATTTCGAAGTTTGATATTTGAAGTTCGTTCCAAAAAACAGCTGGTCTTCATTCTAACAGATCGTTACAAACAAAACATAGCTTGAAGAAGGACCCAGGAGGGATCCGAAAACATTAGCATGAACAATTGAACATACATCA